TGTCCTTCCTCATGATGCCATCTATTTTGTGAAGTGCACCAGTCCCTCCTGCAGCAAAGCACCCCCACAGCAATGATGCTGCCACCCCCTGTCCTTCACGGTTGGGATGGTGTTCTTCGGCTTGGAAGCCTTCCTCTTTTTCCTCCAAACATAATGATGGTCATTATGGCCAAATAGTTCTATTTTTGTTTCATCAGACCAGAGAACATTTCTCCAAAAAGTACTAGGATTAAATGTCAGGAATTGTTTAAATGTATTTGGCTAAGGTGTAAACTTCCGACTTCAACTGTATTACTTGTGTGTGTACGCGGACACCCCTTCAAATTAGTGGATTTGGCTATTTAAGCTACACCCATTGCTGACAGGTATATAAAAAAGAGTACACAACCATGCAATCCCCATAGACAAACATTGGCAGTAGAATGGCCTTAATGAAGAGCTCCGTGACTTTCAACGTGGCATCATTTATAGGATGCCACCTTTCCAACAAGACAGTTCATCACATTTCTGCCCTGCTCGTGCTGCCCCGGTCAACTGTAAGTGCTGTTATTGTGAAGTGGAAATGTCTAGGAGCAACAACGGCTCAGCCGAGAAGTGGTAGGTCACACAGGCTCACAGAACGGGACTGCAGAGTGCTGAAGCGCGTCTTTCCTTGGTTGCAACACTCACTACCATGTTCCAACTCTGCCTCTGGAAGCAACGTCAGCACAATAACTGTTTGGTGGATGCCAGGAGAACGCTACCTGCCCCAATGCATAGTGCCCACTGTAAAGTTTAATGGAGGAGGAATAATGGTCTGGGGCTTTTTTTTCATGGTTCGGGCTAGGCCCCTTAATTCCAGTGAAGGGAAATCTTAACGCTACAGCATACTTTTATTTTAATTTTATTTCACCTTTATTTAACCAGGTAAGCCAGTTGAGAACAAGTTCTCATTTACAACTGCGACCTGGCCAAGATAAAGCAAAGCAGTGCGATTTTAAAAACAACACAGGGTTACATATGGGGTAAAAAAACATAAAGTCAAAAAATACAACAGAAAATATATATACAGTGTGTGCAAATGTAGCAAGTTATGGAGGTAAGGCAATAAATAGGCTATAGTGCAAAATAATTACAATTAGTATTAACACTGGAATGCTAGATGTGCAAGAGATTATGTGCAAATAGAGATACTGGGGTGCAAAAGAGCAAAATAAATAACAATATAGGGATGAGGTAGTTGGGTGGGCTAATTTCAGATGGGCTGTGTACAGGTGCAGTGATCGGTAAGGTGCTCTGACAACTGATGCTTAAAGTTAGTGAGGGAGATAAGAGTCTCCAGCTTCAGAGATTTTTGCAATTCGTTCCAGTCATTGGCAGCAGAGAACTGGAAGGAATGGCGGCCAAAGGAGGTGTTGGCTTTGGGGATGACCAGTGAGATATACCTGCTGGAGCGCAGACTACGGGTGGGTGCTGCTATGGTGACCAATGAGCTAAGATAAGGCAGGGATTTGCCTAGCAGTAATTTATAGATGGCCTGGAGCCAGTGGGTTTGACGATGAACATGTAGTGAGGACCAGCCAACAAGAGCATACAGGTCACAGTGGTGGGTAGTATATGGGGCTTTGGAGACAAAACGGATGGTACAGTGATAGACTACATCCAATTTGCTTAGTAGAGTGTTGGAGGCTATTTTGTAAATGACATCGCCGAAGTCAAGGATCGGTAGGATAGTCAGTTTTACGAGGGCATGTTTGGCAGCATGAGTGAAGGAGGCTTTGTTGCGAAATAGGAAGCCGATTCTAGATTTAACTTTGGATTGGAGATTCTTAATGTGAGTCTGGAAGGAGAGTTTACAGTCTAACCAGACACCTAGGTATTTGTAGTTGTCCACATACTCTAGGTCAGACCCGTCGAGAGTAGTGATTCTAGTCGGGTGGGCGGGTGCCAGCAGCGTTCGATTGAAGAGCATGCATTTAGTTTTACTAGTCTTTAAGAGCAGTTGGAGGCTACTGAAGGAGTGTTGTATGGCATTGAAGCTCGTTTGGAGGTTTGTTAACACAGTGTCCAATGAAGGGCCAGATGTATACAAAATGGTGTCGTCTGCGTAGAGGTGGATCTGAGAGTCACCAGCAGCAAGAGCGACATCATTGATATACACGGAGAAAAGAGTCGGCCCAAGAATTGAACCCTGTGGCACCCCCATAGAGACTGCCATAGGTCCAGACAACAGGCCCTCCGATTTGACACATTGAACTCTATCTGAGAAGTAGTTGGTGAACCAGGCGAGGCAGTCATTTGAGAAACCAAGGCTATTTAGTCTGCCAATAAGAATACGGTGGTTGACAGAGTCGAAAGCCTTGGCCAGGTCGATGAAGACGGCTGCACAGTACTGTCTATTATCGATTGCGGTTATAATATCGTTTAGGACCTTGAGCGTGGCTGAAGTGCACCCATGACCAGCTCGGAAACCGGATTGCATAGCGGAGAAGGTACGGTGGGATTTGAAATGGTTGGTGATCTGTTTGTTAAATTGGCTTTCAAATACTTTCGAAAGGCAGGGCAGGATGGATATAGGTCTGTAACAGTTTGGATCTAGAGTTTCACCCCCTTTGAAGAGGGGGATGACCGCGGCAGCTTTCCAATCTCTGGGGATCTCAGACGTTACGAAAGAGAGGTTGAACAGGCTAGTAATAGGGGTTGCGACAATTTCGGCGGCTAGTTTTAGAAAGAAAGGGTCCAGATTGTCCAGCCCAGCTGATTTGTAGGGGTCCAGATTTTGCAGCGCTTTCCAGAACATCAGCTGTCTGAATTTGTGTGAAGGAGAAGCGGGGGGGGGGGGGGGGGGCATGGGCAAGTTGCAGCAGAGGGTGCAGAGTTGGTGGCCGGGGTTAGTGGTAGCCAGATGGAAAGCATGGCCAGCTGTAGCAAATGCTTGTTGAAATTCTCGATTATTGTAGATTTATCGGTGGTGATAGTGTTTCCTAGCCTCAGTGCAGTGGGCAGCTGGGAGGAAGTGCTCTTATTCTCCATGGACTTTACAGTGTCCCAAAACTTTTTGGAGTTAGTGCTACAGGATGCAAATTTCTGTGACGATTCTGTGCTTCCAAAAGTTTGGGGAAGGCCCTTAACTGTTTCGACATGACAATGCCCCCATGCACAAAGCAAGGTCCATACAGAAATGGTTTGTCAGTGTGGAAGAACTTGACTGGGCTGCACAGAGCCCAGACCTCAACCCTATCAAACACCTTTGGGATGAATTGGAACGCCGACTGCGAGCCAGGCCTAATCGCCCAACATCAGTGCCTGACCTCACTAGTGCTCTTGTGGCTGAATGAAAGCAAGTCCCCGCAGCAATGTTCCAACATCTAGTGGAAAGCCTTCCCAGAAGAGTGGAAGCTGTTATAGCAGCGAAGGGGGGACCAACTCAATATTAATGATTTTGGAATGAGATGTTTGATTCGGTGTCCACATACTTTTGGTCATCTAGTGTATATTTAAAACTCATATTTCGACTATCCAGATATCTGAAAAAATATCATGATATTATTGTAATACTGAAATAATTTCAAATGCTCATCCCTAATGCCCCTAGCCTTGGTAGCCACCCTCTGCCAGTTAATCAGAGGGCCTGCAGGCTGCAGTCAGATCAACCCCACCTCCACTCACCATCAGGCCGCCTTGATCACTGGCTCCCCTCCCCGTCTGTGTCACACCTCCTGGAAACCTTCCACCAATTAATAGGCCCTCCTAATCTAATATGCAATGTGATATTGACTGCCTGGGAATGCAGTAGCTTTTAGAGGGAGAACATGGGAGCCATTCAATCAAATCCTCATTGCAGTATTTAAGTTGTAGTTTATAAACAAACCGTATCGTCCCACAAACCTTTTTGTAAAATGAAATCTCTAGGTGGTTTTGGGGACACTGTCAAATTTCTACTTTTCAGAGTATGGCACATTAATTGTTGTGTAAACAAAGTTCAATGCTTTGCATTTATTGACTATGGCATATTTGCCTGTCATTTTGAACCAATTTTTATTTAATTTGTCTGTGACTAGGCCTCGAATATATCTGCTGAAGACATAGAATGTGATTGGAATGGAAACTGGGAGACTGAGTCCCTGATTGGCCGAAGGACTGGGCAGGTGCACATACCAAACGGTGAGTCACTTTGGAGGTTCACTGAATCACTAAAGAGTTCACTTAACATTAGGGTAGCATTGGTCAATGGTCTAAACTATGATTTAAATCAGTTATGGGGTCTGTTAAGGTTAGGCTGTGGTTATTTTGCTCTGTAGTCCTGAGATTTCCTTTATGATATTTCAGCGCAGTTAATCTTAGTCAGAGTGCAACAAGGCCAGAAGGCAACCATTTTGTGTTAGAGCAGTAAGTATTACAGTAATATAGTGAATCCATTTTGTTTTCTGGGTAACTACAGTACAATCCATTAATCTGCATAGGAAGGCTCACAGTCGCTGCTTCTCAGTGCCTTCTGGGAAATCCCGGCCCCTCCAGCGGCCACCCCCTCCACCACAGACCCCATCTCACTTCATTTGACTTTCATTGGAAGCAGTCTATCTCTTACCTGGAACTCAATCCAAATTCCATCAGACATCAATTTACATAATGTACCGGGGAAAGAGATGCATTCAGGTCCTCTCTATATACAATACACATGGGTTACTGTACTTGGGGGGGGGGGGAGAACGCATCCCGCCTTTGTCTCCTACCACAGGCAATGAGACTGTCCAGCTGCTTATGTACCAAGCGAACAATTGAAGTGCACATAAGACTTGGAATGTAATCTGCTTTGCTTGATATGGGGTAACTTCAGAGAGCTTTCATGTTTTTATAGAAGGAATGTGGGGGCCTTTCATTCACTCTGTTCAGAAGGAAAATTACATGTAGGAATAAATTGAGATGTCTTAATGCGATGCACAATTTAAATGGCAATTGATTTGTTTTTGCATTCTACTGGCCTACGTGTGTGTTTGTTGTTTTTTCCTGTCTGGTTGTAGAATCGATCCTGTCTCTAATGATGCAGGCAGAGGATAGGAAGAAAATAAAACTGAGTGTGAGTTCCAGCAAAGGCGTGGCGGAGGAATATTGTCTAAGAGTGAGTAGGCCTGGACCGACCGCACCCGAGCTCTTGAGCATATCCTAACCCCATACCGAAGCCTGATACAGTGGGGGAAAAAAGTATTTAGTCAGCCACCAATTGTGCAAGTTCTCCCACTTAAAAAGATAAGAGGCCTGTAATTTTCATCATAGGTACACGTCAACTATGACAGACAAATTGAGAAAAGAATATCCAGAAAATCACATTGTAGGATTTTTTATGAATTTATTTGCAAATTATGGTGGAAAATAAGTATTTGGTCACCTACAAACAAGCAAGATTTCTGGCTCTCACAGACCTGTAACTTCTTCTTTAAGAGGCTCCTCTGTCCTCCACTCGTTACCTGTATTAATGGCACCTGTTTGAACTTGTTATCAGTATAAAAGACACCTGTCCACAACCTCAAACAGTCACACTCCAAACTCCACTATGGCCAAGACCAAAGAGCTGTCAAAGGACACCAGAAACAAAATTGCAGACCTGCACCAGGCTGGGAAGACTGAATCTGCAATAGGTAAGCAGCTTGGTTTGAAGAAATCAACTGTGGGAGCAATTATTAGGAAATATAACTTTTTGGTAAAAACTCAACTCGTCGTGTTTGGAGGACAAAGAATGCTGAGTTGCATCCAAAGAACACCATACCTACTGTGAAGCATGGGGGTGGAAACATCATGCTTTGGGGCTGTTTTCTGCAAAGGGACCAGGACGACTGATCCGTGTAAAGGAAAGAATGAATGGGGCCATGTATCGTGAGATTTTGAGTGAAAACCTCCTTCCATCAGCAAGGGCATTGAAGACTTACAGAAAATGTTTGACCTGTGTCATTGCCAACAAAGGGTATATAACAAAGTATTGAGCAACTTTTGTTATTGACCAAATACTTATTTTCCACCATAATTTGCAAATAAATTCATAAAAAATCCTACAATGGGATTTTCTGGATTTTTTTTTTCTCATTTTGTCTGTCATAGTTGACGTGTACCTATGATGAAAATTACAGGCCTCTCTCATCTTTTAAGTGGGAGAACTTGCACAATTGGTGGCTGACTAAATACTTTTTTCCCCCACTGTATATTGACACATATTTACAATACATATATGAAATATATATGTACTAATATTTGAAATAAATATATCTAAATACATTTATTACTCATATGTCACAGATATTTCATAAATATATTTGATTTTGTCCGTTTCTAAATATGTTTTAATATTTTTGACATATCTAAATATATTTAATTGTCTTATCCATATGTGGTAGTATGCATTTTACAAACATGTGCTATTCATATATTTTATATGTATTTGTTGAAAATGTATTTCACAGTATGCATAATTATTTATAGTCAATATCTATATATGAATAATACATTTTTTATATATGAGTAATACATAGTTCATAATATATGGTTATATGTTCCAGAAATGTAATTAAATGCATGTCAAATGCAATAGAAAAAAGGCACACAACACAAACAATTAAGACTAGAAAATGTATTGTTTCCCTTTGTGAGCTCCGAAAGTCACTGTAAGGTTGCATCTGAAAAACTAAATATAATGTACAAATTACCTCTGTGCACTTATTATCTGTATTTGAAAATAAGGTCTTTAAACACGTTAACAGTTACACTGAGGCTAATGCGACAGAGTCAGTGGAAAAACAATCCACACAGGGTGAAGAATTCTTACCTTCGTCAGTCACACTGCATGTTATTGTGGCACGCTAAAGGAGCTAACGTTAGCTAGCTAACTAGCTGTGTTAGCTATCTTGGTGAAAACTCTTGCTTTCTAGGCAGTTAAATAAAATATCTTCATCTGTCACCCACCAGGTAAAAAACATATTTTAAATCAATGTTATGATTATATAATCAAATAAAATGCCATTATCCATGAGGAAGATTTTTGCCAGCTGCTCTTCTCATCCTCAGCTGCTCTTCTCCTCATCTGAAGAAAATTCAAAATTGCAGCGGCTGCTCTGTCAGTTGGAGGCGAGGATGGGGGGCGACCCGGGAGCATTTCAAATTGTGATTGACATCTCGGGAGAAATATGTTCTAAATTCATGTCTCTTTTTGAAATAAACATAGCTAATCTTATAAGTGGCAATAGCTGCATAATTTATTTTAACTTTTGCATGCAAACCCCACTCTTTGAACCTAATGCCAAGGTACAAGAGGTCAATATACTCAACATTACAATTCAGCATAATATAGTGCATTCGGAATGTATTCAGACCCCTTGACTTTTTCCACATTTTGTTACATTACAACATTCTAAAATGGATTCAATTTTTTTTCCCTCAATCTACACACAATACCCCATAATGACAAAGCAAAAACAGGTTTCTACATTTTTTGCAAAAAAAATGAAATCACTTTTACGTAAGTATTCAGTGAAGAGGACACTCCGGGATGTTGACCTTCTAGGCAGAGCTGCAAAGAAAAAGCCATATCTCAGACTGCCCATCTTAATCTTTTATTTTTATTGGCCAGTCTGAGATATGGCTTTTTCTTTGCAACTCTGCCTAGAAGGTCAGCATCCCGGAGTCGCCTCTTCACTGTTGATGTTGAGACTGGTGTTTTGCGGGTACTATTTAATGAAGCTGGCAGTTGAGGACCTGTGAGGCGTCTGTCTCTCAAACTAGACATGTATTTGTCCTCCTGCTCAGTTGTGCACTGGGGCCTCCCACTCCTCTTTCTATTCTGGTTAGATCCAGTTTGCGCTGTTCTGTGAAGGGAGTAGTACACAGCGTTGTACGAGATCTTCAGTTTCTTCGCAATTTCTCGCATGGAATAGCCTTCATTTCTCAGAACAAGAATAGACTGATGAGTTTCAGAAGAAAGTTCTTTGTTTCTGGCCATTTTGAGCCTGTAATCAAACCCACAATTGCTGATGCTCCAGATACTCAACTAGTCTCAAGAAGGCCAGTTTTATTGCTGCTTTAATCAGCACAACAGTTTTCAGCTGTGCTAACATAATTGCAAAATGGATTTCTAATGATCAATTAGCCGTTTAAAATGATAAACTTGGATTAGCAAACGCAACGTGCCATTGGAACACAGGACTGATGGTTGCTGATAATGGGCCTCTGTACGCCTATGTAGATATTCCATTAAAAATCTGTAGTTTCCAGCTACACTAGCCATTTACAATATTAACAATGTCTACACTGTATTTCTGATCAATTTGATGTTATTTTAATGGACAAAAAAATTGCTTTTCTTTCGAAAACAAGGACATTTCTAAGTGACCCCAAACTTTTGAACGGTAGTGTATATACTGTATAAATCACAGGACAATCATGTTTTTGACTGCACTGGGCCTTTAAGTAAAGTGTTTCTCAAGTTCTTAAATCTTAATTTTCCCAGTTTCTCACAGCAGGAAAATAATCCTGCAGCAACAGGACATTATTATGTAGATTATAATGAATGGACATTGTTGTATGGGTTGATAAAAAAAAAAATGTGTTGGGGTAAATCAATTCTCACATTTTAAAGTGGAAATGACTAACTTTGAAGCCCTTTAAACCTTGAATACACAACAATTTGCATTTCCTGCTGTGCAGGAAAATTCTCGGAGACAACAGTGACCAAATTTAAGATCCTATACCTGTAGCAACTGTTTCATTTCAGGAGCGACCAAAAGAGGACGCAGCAAAAATGAAGAACAAAGTGACCAGCGCTCAAGGTAAACTCTGGAAATGCTACTAATCACAACAATCAGATCATAACTGAATACTAAAGTACTACTGGTAATTGATATGAATGCACAGAGTATGTTTTTTAAAGTGATATCAAATGATAATGGCTGACAAATGCTATGTACTGTAGAGTACTGACCAAATATTTACACACAGGGATTCTCCATTGAGCAAGCTTTTTAGACTAGGACTAGGCTTAATGTGTGTCCGGGAATCTGGCTCGTGGTGTCATAAGAAGAGATGTAACTCAGATGATTATGGTGTGGTGTGGCAGCAGTGAGCGGTAAGAGGAAGGCCTGGTCGTGGGATCAGTACCTGGGAGAGGAGAAGGCCATAGCAGTTCCCCTCAGACTGTTCACTGAGGTAAGCATCACCTTCATCAACCAGTAGGTCTGTCTACTACTATAGCCTGACTTGAGAGTCCTATACATTACAATGAAAAATGTTGCTAAAGAAAATGAAAACAAATGTTCAGGTAGTCCCTCCATGTTTGTCTGTTTTCAGTCCGAGATGTAATTTACTGAACTAGAATACAGGCCAATAAAGCTATGATTTGCATTTAAAGGCCATAAGCCAACTGCGTGACGTTAAACATGGTCTGTTGATTTAAAAGGAAGGAAGGATGTTGGGGACTTTGAACTACAGTACATAGTTTACGGTACTATGCAAAGCTACACTATATATACAAAAGTATGTGGACACCCCTTCAAATTAGTATATTTGGCTATTTCATCCACGCCCATTGCTGACAGGTGTATAAAATCGAGCACGCAGCCATGCAATCTCCATAGACAAACATTGGCAGTAGAATGACCTTACTGAAGACCTCAGTGACTTTCAATGTGGCATCGTCATAGGATGCCACCTTTCCAACAAGTCAGTTTGTGAAATTTCTGCCCTGCTAGAGCTGCCCCGGTCAACTGTAAGTGCTGTTAATGTGAAGTGGAACGTCTAGGAGCAACAACGGCTCACAACAACCCTGCACAAGCTCACAGAATCGTCTGTCCTCGGTTGCAACACTCACTACCGAGTTCCAAACTGCCTCTGGAAGCAACGTCAGCACAATAACTGTTCGTCGGGAGCTTCATGAAATGGGTTTCCGTGGCCGACAAGCCGCACATAAGGCTTTACATTTTTATTTGCACTTTTACCCCTTTTTTCTCCCCAATTCTGTGATATCCAATTGGTAGTTGGGCTTGTCCCATCGCTGCAACTCCCCTAGCGTTTTCCTGGCATCCGCCAAACCCAGATTCGTCTGTCGGACTGCCAGATGGTGAAGCGTTTCCACTGCTCCAGAGACCAATTGCGGCAAGCTTTACACCACTGCAGCCGAAGCTTGGTATTGCGCATGTTGAACTTAGGCTTGAGTGCTAGGCCTCCCGAGTGGCGCATCGGTCTAAAAGCCATCCCAGAAGAGTGGAGGCTGTTATAGCAGCAAAGGGGGGACAAACTGGAATGAGATGTTTGATGAGGTGTCTACATACTTTTGGTCATGTAGTGTATCTTCTCCAAGTGATTTAATGTGAATTTATTTTATGTATTTTTTTAGTACAAAGCAAATTGCAACCAATTGTCCTTGATGAAATAGGGAAAGTATCTCAGTAGCTGGAGTTGTAGATCACACAGACAGATTTCAAATGAGAGGAGGAGGAGCTAAAATCACAGATCCTCCCCTTTCCTACTGCTTTTCTGCAGGACTGATTTCTAATGGGCCGACGGGGGCCTGCAAAACAGATGACAACCCCACTGTGTGCGTGTGATGGACACCAGGATGTCCCCATTGTTTCTAATGACTGTCCATTTGAGGACGGTCACAGCACAACTATTAGACCCGCAGTGTAGATTAATCAAGGTTTTGAGACTTACCCCCCCCCCCCCCCCCCCCCCCGGCGTATTAATTTTTCTATGAAGGGATTTGACAGGACATCTGTTCCGTTGGAGGCACAAACACCCATTTCCACGGCAACTGCGCTGCCGAGACACACTTGAGCGTGGCGGTCCAGCAGCCATGAAAATGCAAACACAATAATGTTATGTTTCCTAGTAAATGTATAGGTTTGGGTTTTCTACAGAGGATATCTTTTTCTTAAATCAACATTTGGGTTTATTCTCCTGCTTTCCTGTTGGTCGCTTCGTTCTTTCCTTGTTCTCTGTTCTTCACACTCTGTCCTTCATTGTCTCCATCACACGCTCTCTCGCTCCCTTCCTCTCATGTACTTTTCTCTCTGTATGTCCTTTGCTGTCTCCCTCACGCTTTCTCACTCTTACGCTCTCCTTCCTCTCCCCAACTCTTGTCTCACTTTATCTTCGTCTCTCTCTCCCTCCATTCCAGGCCCAGTCATTCCCCCCCAGCAGAAGTGGCTTCAAGGCTGGGATGAGGCTGGAGGGGATCGACCCTCTCCACCCATCCATGTTCTGCGTCCTGTCTGTGGCAGAGGTGAGCTCCAGACCAGCCTCAACCCAGTATGATGGGCATGTCTCACACTTTAACTGGGTCTGTGATTGAAGTCCAGGCAGCGTTGTTGTGGGTGGAGGAAATTCTCATCCTTAACTGTTACTGACAACGGCCTTGGTAGTTTTGTGTTGTCAATTTGCTTTTGATGCCATCCCTTTTTGTGTTAAAATTGTCACGAGTCAAGACCTAAGCACTTTGAATGTGCGTATCACATCGACCACTTTCCAAATGTACAAGATTGACATTAGCTGTCGCTGTTGTATTTCCATCAGCAAAAATCGAATTGTATGGAAAGTCTCTTTATAATTCACAGTGGAACAGAAACCAACTGTTAAGCGCAAGGCCCTGCAAGTAGCCTACTGCAATAGTCATGGGATGATGGAGGGGAATGACGTAATGCCGTGATGTTTGGGATAGGGACCGCATGCACATTCATACATAAACTGCATTTTGTTTTTCAAAGGTGATTGGCTACCGATTGCGTCTCCACATCGACGGCTACTCTGAATGCTATGACTTCTGGGTAAACGCCGACTCTGCCGACATCAGGCCAGCCGGATGGTGTGAGTCGACAGGACACAAGCTCCACCCACCAAAAGGTGATCTAAAGCAGATCAACATAATGTTACCCTTTTCTCTTTTCACTGTGACTCGTGACAATCGTGCTGACCCAAACCAAACTGCAGGCTTGGATATATTATTTTCACGTGGTCCTTGTCAACATGATTCAAGGCGAGCAACTATGGTGGATTCGTAGCCAGAACAGCTTGGTTCGTCTTAGCTCAGTTCGGCTCAGTAGTGTGAAAGGTCCCTTCAGCTGTTCACTTTTGTCTGTTTGATATAATGGTATTGCTTCTGTGTAAGAGCTTGTGCGTGTTTAATCCTAACGGAATAGGCTTCAGCACATAACAGGAGAATGGTCTTTAAACTATGCATTGTTGATTTTTCTTACAAGGGCCTCATGTCATTTCCACACCATCAGCATGTATTGCTAATACACGGCAGTCTGTTGCGAATAATGTAATGTACCTGGCACAGCAATATTTTCCACAACCCCAATCACATTTGTTTTCTCTCTCCTTTCTTTTCTTTCTCTCTCCTTTCTTTCTCCCCCCTTCCTATTTCTCTGCACTATTTTTTTTTTTTTTTCAGGCTACAACGAAGTCGAGTTTAACTGGGAGAAATACCAAGAGTCTTGCAATGCTCCAGCTGCACCACAGAATCTGTTTAAATCCCATAACAGTGTAAGTGCTTGGTCGGGGTGCGGGAGTCAACAGAAGCTTAGTGCTACTTTCTTCTGTAAGGACGCCTGGGGCCAAAAGCTGACCTTCATTCACACAACAGAACAGAACAATGTGTCCCAGTGGCTGTTGTAAAGCTCCCTCCACACTGTGTCAGAGAAACACTGCTTTACTTCCTGTAGTTTTTTACAGTGACAAAAGCTCAAATACAGATTGACTGAGAGGTACTGTATGACTTTAATGAAGGGAATTGATTGACGTATAGGACGATATATTTTTGAGTTGCACCCCCAGACCAGCCTGAATTCGTTGGGGCATGAACTCTACGAGGTGTCGAAAGCGTTCCACACGGATGCTGGCCCGTGTTGACTCCAATGCTTCCCCACAGTTGTGTCAAGTTGGCTGGATGTCCTTTGGGTGGTGGACCATTCTTGTTACACATGTGAAACTGTTGAGTGTGAAAAACCCAACAGCGTTGCAGTTCTTGACACCAACCGGTGCGCCTGGCACCTACTACCATGCCCCGTTCAAAGGCACTTAAATATTTTGTCTTGCCCATTCACCCTCCGAATGGCACACGTACACAATCCATGTCTCAATTGTCTCAAGGCTTAAAAATCCTTCTTTAACCTGTCTCCTCCCCTTCATCTACACTGATTGAAGTGGATTTAACAAGTGACTCTCAAGCTTTTAGGGCAGAATCAGTGTATGCTATTTGAATATTTACTCAAACCCTCCATTGACATGAATGCATGATTTCCACTTAGTCAAAGAATTGAGCCCCTACTGATGTGTGTCCACAGACCACGAGCACTACTAAGTTTCAGGTGGGCATGAAACTGGAGGCAGTGGACAGGAAGAACCCATGCCTGGTGTGTGTGGCCTCAGTGGCCGACATCGTGGACAATCGCTTCCTGGTTCACTTCGACAACTGGGACGACACCTACGATTACTGGTGAGACACCCATCATTCAGTTCAAACTGTTTTCCATTCTTTTGAAATGAGCTTTTTTGTAAGTTGATGAGAAATTGGAAAATAAAATGTCCACACTGTGTGTTTATGTGTGCGGGGGGAAAAACTTCAACAGAACTCATTCTGTTTCCTCAGTTTGAAACGTGCTTTTGTATGTTTGCTTCCTGGTTTCTACCTTGACTGTTAAATGAAGTCCGTTGTGGAAATCAAACCTGAGTTTGAGAAGGTGTTTTCATCAAGTTCTAGCCAGATGAGATATGCGTTCAACATTTGTTTCCTGATTGTTTAGTGTCAGTAATTGATATATTACACCTTAGTGTTGTTTTGAAACTGATGTTCTATTGTGTGTGTGTGTGTATATATGTATGTGTATATATATATATACACACTGAGTGTACAAAACATTAAGAACACCTTCCTAATATTGTGTTGCACCCAGTCAGTCTGTCATGGAAAGAGCATGGAATGTTTTGTACACTCAGTGCATATAGGTTTGTTACATATAGAGTGATGTATAGAACAACAGTAAAGAGTGTGTGCATGCGTGCGGGTGTGCACGTGTGTGTGCATGATCTTCGTGTGTGTACATGTATGATCTTCAATTCCAGTACTGTCATCAGTGAATCGGTGACGATTTACCTGCTTATTGCGAAGAGGAGTTTGATTACATAGCATGTGACTCATGACCCAATTCATCCAGTGAAAAGCCTGACGTGGGAGAAAAACAGAAGCTGTGTAATTAGATAAGATGTAATTGTTGAAGAGGAGAACTGACAGTCTTCTCTGTTTTGTTCTCAGAGCTGCCTGGCTGAGACATTTTGCAGCGGGTATTTTATTTGTCCTTTTTCTTCCTTTTTCATGTCTCATACTGAGACTTTCCAAGAGGAGAAGCTCCTATCCTCCTTACTACTTACAAAGACATGCAGAAATCATGGGTCGCCACAGCTCATTGCAGTCACACGCACACAATCAACATGTACACCTACACTCTGTTTAACGTACACACAGGCACAACACGCTTGCATGCTCACACTTTCACACACACACACACACCTCGCACACAGATTCACTCGCAGCCACTCCACTACGCTCACCAGAGAGCATGTACGGGACAGCAATCAGGGAATCCTTCACTTCACGTAACCCCATGATTGGCTAATCACACACGTTCACAAAAAACACATATACATACACACACACACCCCTCGCACACAGATTCACTCTCTCAGCCACTCTGCTATGCTCACCAGAGAGCATGTACGGGACAGCAATCAGGGAATCCTTCACTTCACGTAACCCCATGATTGGCTAATCACACACGTTCACAAAAAACACATATACATACACACACACCCCTCTCACACAGATTCACTCTCTCAGCCACTCTGCTATGCTCACCAAAGTGCATTTGTGGGATTTTTTGTCAACTTATTGGGCCCAAGGGACAGCAATCAGGCAAGCCTTCACTCTGTACACCTCATGATTGGCTATTTTCATATTTAAATTTTTATTTATTGACTTTTTACCCCTTTTTCTCCCCAAATTCGTGATATCCAATTGGTAGTTACAGTCTTGTCCCATCGCTGCAACTCCCATACGGACTCGGGAGAGGCGAAGGTCGAGAGCCATGCGTCCTCGAAACACGACCCTGACAAGCCGCACTGCTTCTTGACACTGCTCGCTTAACCCGGTAGCCAGCCGCACCAATGTGTCGGAGGAAACACTGTACAACTAGCGACCGTGTCAGCGTGCATGCTCCCGGCCCGCCACAGGAGTCGCTAGAGCGCGATGGGAAAAGGACATCTCGGCCGGCCAAACCCTCCCCTAACCCGGACGATGCTGGGCCAATTGTGCGTCGCCTCATGGGTCTCCCGGTCGCAGCCGGCTGCGACATAGCCCGTGATCAAACCCGGAACACCCACTCATTTTTAGCATACAAATTTCAGCAACAAGCTGGTCGCGTGGTTCCAAATGTTGAAAATGTACAAACATCTCCTGGATTAACCATTAATTCAAAAGATTAGAAATAGCATTTTGAACATGGCGGTTGTTGGTTGGGTGAGGTGTTGCATTTCCAATTTCTGTTAGCTAGCTAAGTTACCAGACACAGCCCTAAAATAAACCATGAAATCTGTTAGCAAACACATAATGGCACTCAATAGCACTGTCACAGGTGCATCTGACCAAATTTCGTGAGATATTACCTCTGGGTTAACCGAGACAAGTCACTTCAGAACAGACCCAGGGTCTGTTTCTGTGGCGGTAGAAACGCTAAGGCTCATGGTTAGTCGTTTTTTGGTGCTCTTTAATTCTTCAAAGTCTAAGCCGTTGGGGTGGTGGGTTTCTATGCTGACACATGGACTGTTTTTAAGGTCATACTATGGATCATTTAGCTATTTGATTTGGAATTTTATGACCCCTTTAGGTATAAATAAATATAGAAAATATTGAATTGAGCTTTTACTACTATAGCCCAGAGAAATGCATTGAATAACACATTCATAAATGGCAAAAAAGCCAGTCAAAAAATGAATCGTAAGAAACACGGTTTTGAAGTGTTTGTCCTGTATCTAGGAGATATAAGAAAACTCTGGAAATATATCTATATATTTTTTGGTACACACATTTAACCCCCTTTTTGGGTAGGCACAAAACTACCTTCATACTTCCATAACAAAATGTAAACCGGTACCGGTTACCTTCAGACACGTCCAGTGACACTTGTTGGGGTCATAGAGCAAAACGTGAGAGCCTCCCCTTTCCATAGAGTGGTCATAATAGATTTTAGGTCAAACCGTTCGGACGAGGGGTGGGGTGACCATGTTTTAAAACAGGATGATTTAGCGGGACAGTGTAGCCACTGAGATGCAGTGCCTTCGACCACTGCGCCACTCGGGAGCCCATGACAAGAGCTGGAACAAAGATTATGGATATACTGACAAGATGCAGGTTTCTCCGCCCTAACAATGCTTCAGACGGCTTTGTGGGTCAGCTAATACAGGGCTAGTAAAGGCCAAGTGCACTACTTTTTTGTGAGGAACTTTTTTTTTTTTTACCAAAAAAAACCCCTGATTTTTCAGAGGGTGCTGCTCCTCAGCACCCCTACTTCCTGCGGCTATGACTGCTCTAGCTTTACCACCTTTCACCACCGACATCGGCGGATGCGGTGGATTGAGACGCATCCAATGCAAAAAACATATCTATAGCTTAAACTGACAGATTTTGATGGGGATTTTAAAAATATGTTACTTACATTGACGCACCGGTGCGTCAATCGACTCTAGGGGGTTAAAACCAGGAACCAACTGTGAAAACAAGACTTCTCAACACAGGTTGAAACAATCATAACCGATGGGCACTACATCAACATACAAATTGTTTTGCAATCTCTGGAGAAAATAGAACGTCAAAGTTGCACAGTAACATCGCTATCGCTAATTTTTAATACCAACACGGGTTGCGTGGATTGAGAATCTATTTCCAGAACCTCTCGTCAGAGCCCTATTGCAATATTCTCCCGGTCACAAACCGGGTTTTGTAAATGGAAATTGCATGTACAGGTTATTGTATTGTGCTACCCCAGGAGGATTGAAATCAAATGAAAATTGTACGTGTGTGTATAGTTGAGGAAGTGTGTCTATGTAGGAAGATAATGTACAGTATGCTGTGGTTAAGTGTGTGTGTGTGGTTTAGTTTATTAGGATCCCCATTAGCTACTGCACATGCAGCAGCTACTCTTCCTGGGATCCACATAAAACGTACAAATACATGACAAAGTACAGAACACTAATAGACAAGAACAATATAAGATATGACATGAAATTCAAAGTAAATAAGAAATAAAATTAGAGTAATTGTGTGTGTGTGTGTTTTAGGTGTGATGCTAGCAGCCCTTACATCCACCCAGTGGGCTGGTGCCAGGACCACGGACGACCTCTCACTGCACCTCAGGGTGAGTAGCTAGCCCAGTCGATAAAATACTGTATATATGTGTTGTGTGTAATTCACTTTGGATGCTGTGTGGCTAATGTCTGCCAAAAAGGCTACTTTAGTCATTCCTTACTTTAGTCCCCATATTAGTAGTAAGATGTGAACCTTTATCATAACTCTCTTAATCTTCCACGTCAATACTAGAGTAATTCATTTCATTTCCCCTCTAATATTCTGGTATTGTCCCCTTCCACTTCTACACCCTTATTTAAAGCTAGAATCCTTAGTTGCTACTTAATTATATATGCCCATTGATTCTTGAAGAATTGTACTTATAAATGCCTTAGGAGCTTAGTTCATCTGTCGTACCCCAACAGAACCAAAAATATGTATGTTTGTGAACAAACACCGTATAGCCTCAAAACATGGTTAAAACTATACATTTGATATCATGGATGGTCAGTCCATAGCTCTGTCTGAATTTGAGCGGGGTTACGTTTCTCCAGCCCCATCCCCTAGCTTTTTAGCGAAACAGGGGCAGGGATCCGTTTTGGAATACTGACTGTCCAAACAGCAAGTTACAAGTGACCAAATCGGATTTGTGTGTGTTCAGACAGCAGTCATTTGCTGACATGGCTATGCTAGTTGTCATAGTAACAACGGGTGTGTGCGCGGTGGTGTAGGCTGATTGGTGGTGGTGCTTCCTATCATTCAGAAGTTATGTAGTACGCTAAGGTGACAATAATGCCTGCCATGGACATTTCCCAGTTGCTTTGAATGTTCAAAATCATAGTTTAAGAACCCTTTTAAAGCCTCAAAGGATAAGAGGATCCAACTTTCAAAACGAGTCCTTTTTGACTAGCCACAGCAGTCCACTAGCTAGCTAAGTAGCTGTTTAGCTTTCTAGCACATTCACTAATTTGTTTGTAAACAATTAAGCTAGTTAGCTTCCACATGTTCTTGTCAAAACTGTTAACAGAGTAGCTAGCAAGCAACAAGATATGCCAAATAAGTGTAAAAACCACGAGGGCAAATAAATCAGATTTGACCGTTAAGATACAAGGCCAGGATTCAGATTTGTATCTGATTTCAAATTACCTACGAAGGTGGTTTGAAATGTGGCTTGAAATATCTGATTCCATGGGCTTTTTGGCTGTTCAGACTGCAGGAAAAATAACAGATTCTAATCAGATTTATGCCAAAAAATAGGATTGAGTCACTTCAAACTGCCAATGTGAACAAGGCTTAAGTTATACATTATATGTATGACCCGTGCATCATCCTGAAAGGAAAAACGTAATCACGGCTGTTCTTTAGTAATACAGTACTGTATGCCTTAAATGCATAAAAAATCTAAACATTAGTCATTTACTTCACAATTGTTGTTTTTGTTGATATACCATGATGGAACACTACATTACAGCATAGGAAAAAGGTTATAACTTAGTAATCGAATGGTAACAAGTTGTAGTAATAATAATAATATAATAATATGCCATTTAGCAGACGCTTTTATCCAAAGCGACTTACAGTCATGCGTGCATACATTTTTGTGTATGGGTGGTCCCGGGGATCGAACCCACTACCTTGGCGTTACAAGCGCCGTGCTCTACCAGCTGAGCTACAGAGGACCACAATGTAATGTTAAGTGCTATCACAATGAGTTATATTTTAAAGCATTTTAATTGACATTCAATACAAAAAAAAAGTGTAGAGAACTCCTATATTATTTATTTCACCTGTCAGCATTCACCTCCACCTCCACTTCCTTTGCAGTTGATGCTACTGTACATAGGCTACATACCCCCGAGCTCTGCTTTAATCTCATGGTTTGGAATGGTTTGATCCGTTGACAGCTTTGACAGACCAGCTTCATATTTTCATATTATTCTCTTGACTTACGTAAAATCAGCTCTCCTGTCAGTCTAGATGCTGTCAATCATTTAAAAGGCTCTCATCTGCAGTCAGCAGCTAGCTACGATGATATGTTAAAAGTTGGAGGGGTTGTCATGGTAATGTTAAATGGGACTAAGGTATAGGAAGGTGTCTAAAATGTCACTTTGTGTGTGGCTTTTAATGTCTTATTGTGTAATTGCAAAGCGTAACGAACACGTACAGTAGCCCTCTCATCTATTGTGTTGTCATGTTGGGCCACTCCAGGGCCCCAACACCCAGTCATAATTACGCTGTCTGACTCAATGTAATGGCACTTAAGCCTGGGTCGGGTTATGGTAATGTGGTAGGAATTACCCACTGGGAGCTTTAAAGTGAACAATTTCAACGGTAATCAAACCCATTGGTGGAGTTTCCTTTATTAGCTAGAGGACTCCTGATATCTCCAGGAGTGATGTGTAAGCTTTGTCTTTATCTGTTGTCTAGTACTGTCTTTTTGCTTGCTATGGCCAGCTACTTTAAGTGCTGCCTGTCTTCCCAGTAGCCTACTTGGTGTGTGTGAACTGCTGAATGCTCATAACTTGCAGATGATTGTTGACACATCAACCAGGATTCAGTCTCCCCTGGTTTCTCAGGGGCAGCTATAAGCGGTGGTCTCGTCTCCGAAACAAAGACGGTTCTGCAGAGTTGTTCTGTGGAGTTCTTCGAGGAAGGAAAGAGAGGAAGGCTTCACACCACTCTCTCACTTGAGTGTTTTACCTAGTTATTTTCAGATTATCTCATTTTGCTCTTTTGTAGCTTTGGCAACTGTGTGTGTGTGTGTTTTCTATACCTGTTCGCTCCTCTCCCTGTAGGCTTTACAGATGCTCCCCACCCCTTGGCTGCAACTCTTCTAATTTATTGTACCCTGAGCGTACAACCCATGTGGAATTCCGGGTCTCTGGCAGCGTTTGGAACTGCCTATCTGCGGTCAGCCTATGCTGCCCTTCACTTCTTGGCCCTGACGGAGATCTGGATCACCCCAGAGAACACTGCTACTCCAGCTGCTCTCTCTTCATCTGACTATGTTTTCTCTCATAGTCCGAGAGCATCTGGTCGTTGCGGTGGCGGCACAGGGCTACTCATTTCGCCTAACTGGAGATGTTCTCTTTTCTCCCTCTCTCACCTGTCCATCTCCTCATTTGAATTCCATACTGTCACTTGACCACTCAAGCGTAACACTGTTCTCATCGATCACCCACCAGGTGCCCTTGGAGAGTTCCTCAATGAGCTTGACAACTTAATAAGCTAATTTCCTGACGATGGCTCACCGCTCTTCGTACTTGGCAAATTTCAAGTTCCTGGAGTCTGCCTTCCATTAATTTCTTTCCAACTCTCTCTTTCTCCTCCTTACCTCTTTTGACCTCAAACTTTCCCAATCCCCTCCAACTCACAAGTCAGGCAATACACTTGACCTCATCTTTAGTAGAGGCTGTTCCCCTACTAATCTCACTGCAACCCCCCTCTAGGTCTCTGACTTCGTTTCCTTTTCTAACTCCCTCTCCTCCAACCCTAGCCACTCAGCCCCTACCCAGATGGTCATGCGCCATCGCAATCTTCGCTCTCTCTCTCTCCCACTACTCTCTCCTCTTCTATCCTATCATCTCTCCCTTCTGATTATTCCTCTTAGTCCGTACTCTCCTCCCTTTCCGCATTCTATGTCTCGGGCCTTCCCCTCCTGCTCCGTGGCAGAGTGACTCATTGCAAGCTTCCAGAACAGGGCTGTGGGCAGCTGAGTGAAAATGGAGGAAAACTAAACTTCCGGAGGACCGATCATCCTTCACTTCCTCCTCTCTACCTTCTCTTCCTCTGTATCTGCTGCTAAAGCCACTTTATATCACTCTAAATTTCAAGCTTCTGCCTCTAGCCCTACGAAACTCTCCACCTTCTCCTCCCTCCTAAATCCTCCACCCCTTCCCCTTCCCTCCTCCCTCTCTGCGGACGACTTTGTCAACCACTTTGAAAAGAAGGTTGACGACATCCTGTTCCTCATTCACTCAGCCTATTGAGTCCACTGGTCCCACTCACACAGAACTACCCTACGCCTTGACCTCTTTCTCCCCTCTCTCTCCAGATGAAATCCTGCAACTAGTGAGGTCTGGCCGCCCGACAACCTGCCCGCTCGACCCCATCCCCTCCTTCCTTCTCCAGACCATCTCTGGAGGCCTTCTCCCATTCCTCACTTCCATCAACTCATCCGTGAGCACTCGCTGCGTCCCCTCTGACTTCAAAATGTCGCTCCCCTCCTCAAGAAACCAACACTCGACTCATCTGACGTCAAAAAACTATAGACCTGTAACCCTTCTTTCTTTTCTTTCAAAAGCTTGAGTGTGCTGTCTCTGACCAACTCTCTTGTTATCTCTCTCAGAATAATCTTCTTGACCCTAACCAGTCAGGCTTCAAGACGGGTCACTCAACCGAGACTGCTCTTCTTTGTAGCACAGAGGCTCTCCACACTGCCAAAGCTGACTCTCACCTCTGTTCTCATCCTGCTAGATCTATCCTCTGCCTTCCACACTGTGAATTATCAGATCCTCCTCTGCACCCTCTCAGGGCTGGGCGACTCAGGCTCTGCACACTCTTGGATTGCATTCTACCTGGCAGGCCGCTCCTACCAGGTGACATGGAGAGGATCTGTGTCTGCACCACGTACTCGTGTCCCCCAGGGCTCGGTTCTAGGCCCCTCCTTCTCTCGATACACCAAGTCACTCAGCTCCATTATATCCTCACATGGTCTCTCCTATCATTGCTATGTGTATGACACTCAACTACCCCAACCTTCCCAAGTTCTCCCATGTCACCCCGCTCCTCAGTTCACTCCACTGGCTTCCAGTCGAAGCTCGCATCCACAATGAGAACATGGTGCTTGCCAATGGAGCAGCAAGAGGAACTGCCAATCCCTATCTTCAGGCTATGCTCAAACCCTACACCCCAACCTGAGCACTCCGTTCTGCCACCTTTGGTCTCTTGGCCCTGCCATCCCTACGGGAGGGCAGCTCCTGCTAAGTCCTGACACCCCAATGATGGAACCAAATTCCCCCTGAAGCTAGGACAGCAGAGTCCCTGCCCATCTTCCGAAAGCACCTGAAACCACCCCCTCCTTTCTAGCTTTGACTTTGATACACTTTTCCTCAATAAATTCAATATTTCCTATGCCTGTGGACATGTGGTTGGCCCACCTAGCAACTGTAACTTGCTCTGGATAAGAGCGTCTGCTAAATGACATAAGGAATCCAAGTCCAAAGCATTTGAAAGGATATCAAAACCCTCTAGGCTCTCTCGCTCTCCTCTTTCTCCATCTCCATTTTCTTCTCCCTCTCTTGTTCTACAATATAATAGGCTGCTCGGTTGTGCCATTCGGCTAACATTCTCCCAGAGAGTTGTATGTCACAAAACTGCATCTGTTTTTCCAGTTAAAAGCGAGTGTGGTGCTGTGCTGTTAAATGGATACTGGAGCACAATCATCAGATCATTTGCAGATCAGCGAATAGAGAGAAAGAGGGAGGGAAAGAAGGCGAGAGAGGGGGGGGAGAACAGGAGGGGAGGGGGAGAGAGATTATCGTTTATGTTATCACAGCTGTTGGGTAAAATATTATTGTAACTATTTGATCCATGCCTTGTGCAGAGAGCATTAATTCATTGACCATTTGAAACAAGGTTTCTCTCTCTTGATTTTGCTAGCGCTCTCTCTCTCTCTCTCAACTCCTATCAGACCCGATAGTCCTTGGCTAAGCTATAGCAGTTTCAGTGGTGTACATGTGGTGCTGGGAGATGCCAACAGTCTATGGGATACATAACGGATCATCCACAACTGTATACTGAAAAGTGACCCAGTTTAGCCCAAACAGATATAATATTTGACTAAAACATAATCATTTCAAACCTTGCTTACATGTGTATACAATCACGTCTCTCTATTATGTGTAGGAATACTTGGGAACAGATTTACAAAATTAAAATCACTTGGCACTGATTTCCTGGTGTTTTTACAGTCTTATGTCCAACATTGAAGTGTGTATGTACACTACCGTTCAAAAGTTTGGGGTCATTTGAAATTTCCTTGTTTTCCATGAAAACATACATGAAATGAGTTTGAATAGGAAATATAGCAAAATGCATAGGAAATGTAGTCATTGACAAGGTTAGAAATAATGTCAATGAATCCTCCATTTGCAGCAATTACAGCCTTGCAGACCTTTGGCATTCTAGTAGTCAATTTGTTGAGGTAATCTGAAGAGATTTCACCCCATGCTTCCTGAAGCACCTCCCACAAGTTGGATTGGCTTGATGGGCACTTCTTACGTACCATACGGTCAAGCTGCTCCCACAACAGCTCAATAGGGTTGAGATCCGGTGACTGTGCTGGCCACTCCATTATAGACAGAATACCAGCTGACTGCTTTTCCCTAAATAGTTATTGCATAGTTTGGAGCTGTGCTTTGGGTCATTGTCCTGTTGTAGGAGGAAATTGGCTCCAATCAAGCGCCGTCCACAGGGTATGGTATGGTGTTGCAAAATGGAGTGATAGCTTTCCTTCTTCAAGATCCCTTTTACCCTGTACAAATCTCCCACTTTACCACCACCAAAGCACCCCCAGACCATCACATTGCCTCCACCATGCTTGACAGATGGCATCAAGCACTCCTCCAGCATCTTTTCATTTGGTCTGCATCTCACAAATGTTCTTAGTTGTGATCCGAACACCTCAAACATCGATTTGTCTGTCCATAACACTTTTTTCCTATCTTCCTCTGTCCAGTGTCTGTGTTCTTTTGTCCATCTTAATCTTTTTTATTTTTATTGGGCAGTCTGAGATATGGATTTTTCTTTGCCTAGAAGGTCAGCATCCAGGAGTCGCCTCTTCACTGTTGACATTGAGACTGGTGTTTTGCAGGTACTATTTAATGAAGCTGGCAGTTGAGGACCTGTGAGGCGTCTGTTTCTCAAACTAGACACTCTAATGTATTTGTCCTCCTGCTCAGTTGTGCACCGGGGCCTCCCACTCCTCTTTCTATTCTGGTTAGCGCCAGTTTGCGCTGTTCTGTGAAGGGAGTAGTACACAGCGTTGTACGAGATCTTCAGTTTCTTGGCAATTTCTCGCATGGAATAGCCTTCAATTCTCAGAACAAGAATAGACTGAAACAAGAATAGAAAGTTATTTGTTTCTGGCCATTTTGAGCCTGTAATCGAACCCACAATTGCTGATGCTCCAGATACTCAACTAGTCTCAAGAAGGCCAGTTGTATTGCTTCCAAATCCAATCCCTTACTTTAACTTAATGTGGACTCATCATTGCTGTCGTATACAGTATGATTCCTCAACTGGTGTTCTTAGAGCAAGTGAAGAACTGCAGCTCTGGAACGTATTCCTATAGTCAAGGAAGAGACGGGTGTACTTACTAATATGATGTTAGATCTTGCCCTGAGAAACTGTGACTATGAAAGTGCTCATTACCTCTATATTGAACCATCTGTAGGCTCTTTACCCACAGCTTTACTATCAGACTTCCAGCTGCTTCTATGCACTGAACATATTTTGTCTTACAAAATGTAATGTGTTATAAATTCCTTTTGTAGCAGATGCATCTGCCATATTGCAAGCAGGAGGCCACTTTAGACTGTTGAGATGCACCCATGCATTTTCTCTTGGATGTTTTACTAGAATGGAATCTAGTTTCAGATTGAGTTTCAAAGTAAAGGCACAGTAAATGAGCAGTTCCCGAAGTAGCCAGGCAAGTTTTTATTGTTGAACCGTTTGTGATTGGCTCAAATGAAGCCTCTATAACTGACTACCTCTGACTACTCTCTGGCTTGGGACTGATGTATTTTACTGTATTTGATTTAACAAGAACTACCGAGGCAGTGGCCAGTACAACTAATCACTCACTAATGGCAGCCTCCACAACTCAATCTCCGCTAGCTAAACATAATTTCCTTCCGCAACCAGGCGATATGTGATTGTGTACGTTAGCTCCCCCGCATATGTTGCACCCGTGTGTGTGTGTGTGTGTGTGTGTGTGTGTCACATTAAGTTTTCAAGCTCATTTGTCTTGTAATGAGATTGTCACAGCCGTGTATGGTCCCCAGTTTGAAGTTGTATGTGTGTGCATGTGCGTGCGCAAGCACGAGCGTGTGCGATTTCCCCATGTTTTAATCAGATTGTGTTTTGGATTGTGTTCAAGGACACCCCAACCCAGAACATTTCCTGTGGGAGGAGTACTTAGAAGACAATGGTTCCACGGCGGTTCCAAGCCAGGCTTTCTGTATGGTAAGCAGTAAGCACTAGGCACAGAACAGCTGGCTAGCTATGTATCAGACAGCGCTGTGTTTGTGTGTGTGTGTGTGTGTCTGTGTGTCACGCGGCACCATTGTTGTTCCCAGACTCTGCTGCAATCTAACGGCTTCTTTAGTGTTTCATAATGATTTCCTTTATTGTCTAAAAAAACTCCTACAAACAATTGAAATTTAAGGCAGTTTAATAACGGTTGTGGTTAGGTCCCTTTTCACAATAATGACACAAGAAATGTTTTCCTCAGTTTGACATCAGTTTGTCACTTTACCAGACCTGGGCCCGTATCCACAAAGCATCTCAGAAAAGGTCCTAGGAAACATGTTTTAAGACTAAAATAACTCCCAGCTCAGAGTAGGTTTTATGATGATGTTAAGACACTACCCAGATTAAGAGCCAGGAGTAAAATCAACTCATAAAAGTTAATCTCTGCTGGTAATCACAACAGTTTGAGGTACCGCAAAGGAAAGATAGTGATGAGGCTCATTGACGTTGTTGCAAGAGATGGGGAATAACCAATCGCGATGAGGCATCGCCAGCTGTGCATGCTTCGGACAACCACGGTGAATGTAACATCAAATGTTGCAATGGTAAAACGATTGATATAATATTCACCTGATCACTTTGCCTACTCTTGGCATGTTGGCATGCGTATGTTATAATTTTTTGGGACCAATTCGGATGCTTGTTAAAAGTGGAATTTTTTTATAATTATACTGTTATCACCAATTGTGCAAGTTCTCCCACTTAAAAAGATGAGAGGCCTGTAATTTTCATCATAGGTACACGTCAACTATGACAGACAAATTGAGAGAAAAAAATTCAGAAAATCACATTGTAGGATTTTTTATAAATTTATTTGCAAATTATGGTGGAAAATAAGTATTTGGTCAATAACAAAAGTTTCTCAATAATTTGTTATATACCCTTTGTTGGCAATGACACAGGTCAAACATTTTCTGTAAGTCTTCACAAGGTTTTCACACACTGTTGCTGGTATTTTGGCCCATTCCTCCATGCAGATCTCCTTTAGAGCAGTGATGTTTTGGGGCTGTCGCTGGGCAACACAGACTTTCAACTCCCTCCAAAGATTTTCTATGGGGTTGAGATCTGGAGACTGGCTAGGCCACTCCAGGACCTTGAAATGCTTCTTACGAAGCCACTCCTTTGTTGCCCGGGCGGTGTGTTTGGGATCATTGTCATGCTGAAAGACCCAGCCACGTTTCATCTTCAATGCCCTTGCTGATGGAAGGTTTTCACTCAAAATCTCACGATACATGGCCCCATTCATTCTTTCCTTTACACGGATCAGTCGTCCTGGTCCCTTTGCAGTAAAACAGCCCCAAAGCATGATGTTTCCACCACCATGCTTCACAGTAGGTATGGTGTTCTTTGGATGCAACTCAGCATTCTTTGTCCTCCTTACCAAAAAGTTCTATTTTGGTTTCATCTGACCATATGACATTCTCCCAATCCTCTTCTGGATCATCCAAATGCACTCTAGCAAACTTCAGACGGGCCTGGACATGTACTGGCTTAAGCAGGGGGACACGTCTCGCACTGCAGGATTTGAGTCCCTGGCGGCATAGTGTGTTACTGATGGTAGGCTTTGTTACTTTGGTCCCAGCTCTCTGCAGGTCATTCACTAGGTCCCCCCGTGTGGTTCTGGGAGTTTTGCTCACCGTTCTTGTGATCATTTTGACCCCACAGGGTGAGATCTTGCGTGGAGCCCCAGATCGAGGGAGATTATCAGTGGTCTTGCATGTCTTCCATTTCCTAATAATTGCTCCCACAGTTGATTTCTTCAAACCAAGCTGCTTACCTATTGCAGATTCAGTCTTCCCAGCCTGGTGCAGGTCTACAATTTTGTTTCTGGTGTCCTTTGACAACTCTTTGGTCTTGGCCATAGTGGAGTTTGGAGTGTGACTGTTTGAGGTTGTGGACAGGTGTCTTTTATACTGATAACAAGTTCAAACAGGTGCCATTAATACAGGTAACGAGTGGAGGACAGAGGAGCCTCTTAAAGAAGAAGTTACAGGTCTGTGAGAGCCAGAAATCTTGCTTGTTTGTAGGTGACCAAATACTTATTTTCCACCATAATTTGCAAATAAATTCATAAAAAATCCTACAATGTGATTTTCTGGATTTTTTTTCTCAATTTGTCTGTCATAGTTGACGTGTACCTATGATGAAAATTACAGGCCTCTCTCATTTTTTTTAAGTGGGAGAACTTGCACAATTGGTGGCTGACTAAATACTTTTTTCCCCCACTGTATATCAACACACTCGTCACTCCCATTTAATAACTCTACATTTCTTTGGGACAGTTGGCATCAAGTCACTTGCAGATAATGTTGCATAAAACGTTTGAAAGGTCTAACATTTTCATCGAACACAATCAAAGTTAACATGGGCCCTAGATGGCTTCAATTGCCCAATTTTATATTTTTTACCAACATGATGTTGCGCTCCAAAGGGATAACTTGGAATAACATGATTTAGGTTAATTAAATAATACAAATATAAATATTATTATTTATTAGCCTATGTGGTTATAAGTATTTAGGCATATCATGTGATAAAGGGCTCATGTGAAATCATTTTCAAAAGCGCAAGACATACTGTTGCATGTAGGTGTAGATTGTTTATGGATTGATCATATAGAAATATCAAAACATTCTTCAACTCCAAAGCAATTTTATGTGGTGCAGGAACCACTGACTCACTGACTTTTTTTCTATTATCAAAACACCTGCACAACTCTTAACTGGTTAGGACAGCTCATGATGTGTCCTAAACATCTGTTTACTTAGTCGGAGTCTTATGACTAAAATGCTTCATGCATAGCTTTTATTTTTTACATATAAGAGTAGGAGTCAAATGTCTCTATTCTCAGTACTTACGACCAATGTTCTACTCTGAGACGATTAATGGATATGGTCCCTGTCATTCTCATTCAGAAACACCCTGTGTCAAACTCACTGACTTCCTCTCTGCCCTAAAGAACTCCACTGTCAACTGCCTCTCCCCTGCATGACATCTGCACAGCTCCACACAATTCCACACCCTCAAATCTTCTCCTCTGGCTGAGTTTCTGGCTGACGGGGCCTGTCCTCACCTCTGCTCTCCTCCACTCTGCATGCTCTGCTCTTTCTGTCTCTCTCGCTGTCTCCCCCCTCACTTCCTCCTTTCTCTTCCCCATCACAGAGAGCTCCTCACAGTTTCCAGGTGAACATGAAGCTGGAGGTGGTGGACAGGAGGAACCCCATGCTGGTCCGTGTGGCTACTGTCTCAGACACTGAGGACTACAGGGTCAAGGTGAGGGGGAGGAAGGTGAAGAGGTGGGATAAGAGAGGGGATGAGAGAGAGAGAGAGAGAGGACAAAATGAAAGGATGATTGCGGGGATGAGAGGAGGTGAGGGGATGAGAGGAGGGTATGTGAATAGAAGTGGGGGGGGGGGGTGTTAGTCAGGGTGAGGAGGCCTGCTGAGCTGGAAGCTCCTACACCACGGCTGTTTAGGACTCCATGTCTGTGAATGAGCAGGCTGGAGAGTCTGCAGAAGCCTCTTGTTGGTGCTGCTCTTGTTAAACCACTAACAAGCCTTGTACTGAGACTGAGTTTGTATTGTGTGTGTGTCAGGGCACATGCACTGTGTTTGTTTGTACTGCATGCCCATGCCCATGCCTATGTGTTTCCGCCTGATGTATGTATTGGGTGTTTATACAGTTGATCATTGACAGAGCAGAGTGCCTCATTTCTCACCATATTTGTCCTATCACGTCACGCTGCTCAGTCAGTCTAGCAGAGGAATCCCCCGACGTGTCTCACAGTGTGATTAAATCCCCCTAGAGTCGGTTTCCGCGCCCCCTCAATCCACCGCATCCGCTGATGTCACACTTCCGCATCTGCGGTGAAAGGTGACAGAGCTAGATTGATGTTTGAGACATCCCGAAAATCGGTCTTCTCACAAAATCATCAGTAGTGTCCAAACGGTTTGGCCTACAAACTATTATGACCTATGACCCCTCTGTGGAAAGATGAGACGCTCACAAACATGATGGTGTTCTCCGTTTTGCTCTACGACAAAGTGTCTTGGGACTCATCTTAAGTAGGTACAGCCGATCTGCCAACTTCTGTCTGTAGCGTCCGAACAGTTTGGGCTGCACACTAATATGACCCCGCTGTGGAAAGGTGAGACTCTCATGAACACCGACCTGTCGGTTGTTTTGCTCTAGGACGCCCACAGGCCTCACATGACTCGTCTGAAGGTCCACCAGGTACCAGTTTTAAAAAAATTATGGAAGTATATATGGAGACAGTTTAGTGGCAAGAATAAGGGGTCAAATACATGTAAAGAATCATTTAACAATTCTAATCTTTCTCATCTCTCTGACACTTCAGAACAAACAATCTGTTGTTCAATTTAGTAAATATGTTATTCATTGCGTTTCTATGGGCTAATAGCAGTAAGGCCAAATACAATTTTTCATCAAATGATTTGTGTGTGTGTATGTGTATATATATACACTTGAAGGGGTCTTAACATTCCAAATCTAATAGCTAAATGATCCTTGTTATGGCCTTCTTAAAACAATTCCATATAGCTTAATAGAACTCCCCTCTCCCCTGGCTTAGACAGGGCTTGGACTGTAGAGGGTTCATGATTATGTGATCAGACAGGCGCCATTAACCCATAGTGGATTTAGCTTGGGTCAAAGCACTGCATCGATTCTCCCCCACCCAGACCCCAGTCATCCGTCTTCACCAGAACCCTCTCGTCATCCATTAGTGCTACATAAGACATATAATGATTTCTTTGTGTAGCTACTCTATACACACACACACACACACACGGGTCAAGCCTGCTGGCTTCCCTGGAGGAACACTATTGCACCACTGAACCATGGTTATGAGCTGCTGCTTGTCAGCTGACAAGTCGTCATGATTTTAATAGAGTGGGAAACGGAAATCTAAAAACACGGCAAGTTTTGAGAGGCATCGGTCGAAGCAGCGGTGGTGTTTAGTATAGAGTGGAGTTTGGTGGAAACTTTAATATTGCACCGAAAGCACCACTATGAGAACACTTGCCAGCTGATGAGGAAGATGAATTGATTAGCATGATGTATAATTCATGCATCTTGAAATAAGGATGTGTAATCAAGGCCCTACTTCATAAACTTCAGTCTTATCTAACTTTGCTGTTGAAGTATAGACACCTGAGTTGCCTAACCCGTTCACAGGATTGGTTAACTAGGTAAAAACCGACCGAGGTAAATCTGCGTTTAGTTTTAATGCACTGTATTGCTGGAACAAAATGTTTCATCTTGATGTTCTGGCAATTTTAAAGTATTGATTGGGGACTTATTTGTGGAGGAATGTAACAGGCTGATTTTGATGTTTTGTGATGCTTCCCATTACTGTCTTTTTGAGAGCGAGACCGACCGACCGATTTTTACTGAGTTACAGTTCATATAAGGAAATCAGTCAATTAAAGGCGCAGCCATGGGATTGCACATAGGCTCACCCACTTGGGAGACTGGCCCACCAACTGGGGAGCAAGGCCCAGCCTATCAGACTACAGACAGAAAAACATTTTATTGGCCTTTTATTGTGCGCAGCACAAGGTGCACCTGTGTAATGATCACCGGTCAGGTGGATGGTGTATCTTGGCAAAGGAGAAATGCTCACTAACAGGGATGTAAACAAATTTGTGCCCAAAATTTAGATAAATAAGCTTTTTGTGCATATGGAAAATGTCTGTGATTTTTTTTTATTTCAGCTCATGAAACATGGGACCAACACATTACATGTAGCATTTATATTTCTGTTCAGTATAGTTTGCATATAATATGTTTATTTATGTTGTATATACAGGGCACATTTGTGAAAGAGACCTAGGTCTCAATGTCTTCCCTGTTAAAATAAAGGTTAAATAAAACAATCAGATCTTACACACCGTGGCGGATTGATTAATATAAAATGTTATTATTTAATGTCATGCATCCCATTGTACTTTCAAAGAGTCCTCTACTAGGAGTAGGTACATTTAGAACAGAATCAACTGTGGATTCTGAACCAGCTCTATAATCATTAAACTTGGTGTCATAACATTTTTGTTTACTACTGTCTGTTAATATTTCAAGTTTATTCAATACAAATTACATTTGACACATGATCACAGCAAACTTTATGAAGAACAATGATAGACTAATGTGGTTGTGTCTTGTTTCTCCCTCTCTCTCTCTCTCTCTCTCTCTGTATCTCTCTCTCTCTCTCTGTATCTCTCTCTCTCTCTCTCTGTATCTCTCTCTGTATCTCTCTCTGTATCTCTCTCTATATATATATCTCTCTGGATCTCTCTCTCCGTATCTCTCTCTCTCGCTCTCGCTCTCTCTCGCTCTCTCTGTATCTCTCTCTGTCTCTGTATCTCTCGCTCTCTGTATCTCTCGCTCTCTATCTCTATCTCTCCCTCTCTCTGTATCTCTCTCTCTCTCTCTGTGTATCGCTCTCTCTCAGGGCCAGATAGCACTGCATTTTGCTTTGTGCTTTCCAATAAGTAATGTAATTTTGTTTTGACTGTGTTGTAATTTGGTTTATTCTGATTGATTGGATGTTCTGATCCTGATGCTTCAGTGTGTTAGTAGAACAGGTTTGTGAACTCAGCCCCAGGACCAGCTGGATGAGGGGACTCTTTTCTTTGTTCAGTTCTTGATATTGCAGGGCTTGGTAATGATATGAGAGGGGGTCACTGTATTTTAGATGTTTCCAAAACTGAATTGCTACTTTTTGAGTTTGTATTATTAGTGGATATTGGCCTAATTCTGCCCTGCATGCATTGTTTGTAGTTTTCCTCGGGACATGTAGGAGAATCTTACAGAACTCTGCATGCAGGGTTTCAATGGGGTGTTTGTCCCATTGGATGAAATCTTGTTTTGCAAGTGGACTCCACAACTCGCTGCCATGAAGTGCAATTGGTTCAATGACACATTCAATTAGTTTTAACCTAATTTTAATAGGGATTTCAATTTGAATTAGTTTTTTTAACTCTCTCTCTCTGTTTCTCCCTCTCTTTCTGTATCAATCAGATCCGTTTTGACGGCTGGCACGAGAAGTTTGACTTCTGGGTGGACTCTGACCTGCCGGACCTTCACCCTGTGGGCTGGTGTGCCCGAACAGGCCACACCCTGGAACCCCCCCTCTGTGAGTTCACAACCCCTTTGTGTGTGTGTGTGTGTGCGCACATCTGCGAGTGTGCGCTCTTCGCTAACTGTTCCACCTCAACACTCTCACCTACACACAAACCAGTAGACTCCACTCTTCTCAAGGACCATTCCATACCCCATTATTTATTCTGTCCCTTTCAGAGGTAAATCTCACTGACGTTAGAGCACAGCTATCTGTTATAATGGTGCAAAGTATTTTCTATGGCACAGGAATTTGTACTGCGCTCTAAATATTCAGCACACCTATATACAGTGCATTCGGAAAGTATTCAGACCCCTTGACTTTTTCCACATTTTGTTACATTACAGCCTTATTCTAAAATGGATTAAATAAATGTTTTTCTCATCAATACACCATAATGACAAAAGTGAAAACAGGTTTTTTGAATTTTTTGCAAATGCATTAAAAATAAAAAAAACGATACCTTATTTACGTAAGTATTCAGACCCTTTGCTATTACACTCGAAATTGAGCTCAGGTGCATCCTGTTTCCGTTAATCATCCGTGAGAGTCCACCTGTGGTAAATTCAATTGATTGGACATGATTTGGAAAGGCACACACCTGTCTAGGTCCCACAGTTGACAGTGCATGTGAGAGCAAAAACCAAGCAATGAGGTCGAATTGTCCGTAGAGCTCAGAGACAGGATTGTGTCGAGACACAGCTCTGGGGAAGGGTACCAAAAAAGAAGTGGAGAAGAGCCTTGGTCAGGGAGGTGACCAAGAACCCGATGGTCTCTCTGACAGAGCTCCAGAGACCCTCTGTGGAGATGGGCGAACCTTCCAGAAGGACAACCATCTCTGCAGCACTCCACCAATCAGGCCTTTATGGCAGAGTGGCCAGATGGAAGCCACTCCTCAGTAAAAGGCACATGACAGCCCGCTTGGAGTTTGCCAAAAGGCACCTAAAGGACTCTCAGACCGTGAAAAAGAAGATTCTCTGGTCTGATGAAACTAAAATTGTTTTTCAGCAGCAGGGACTGGGAGACTAGTCAGGATCGAGGGAAAGATGAACGGAGCAAAGTACAGAGAGATCCTTGATGAAAACCTGCTCCAGAGCGCTCAGGACCTCAGATTGGGGTGAAGGTTCAACTTCCAGCAGGACAACGACCCTAAGCACAAAGCCAAGACAAAGCAGGAGTGGCTTCAAGACAAGTCTCTGAATGTCCTTGATTGGCCCAGCCAGAGTCCAGACTTGAACCCGATCAAACATCTCTGGAGAGACCTGAAAATAGCTGTGCAGCGACACTCCCAATTCAACCTGACAGAGCTTGAGAGAATCTGCAGAGAAGAATGGGAGTAACTCCCCAAATACAGGTGTACCAAGCTTGTAGTGTCATACCCAAGAAGACTCAAGGCTGTAATCGCTACCAAAGGCGCTTCAACAAAGTACTGAGTAAAGGGTCTGAATACTTATGTAAATGTGATATTTCATTTTATTAATTTGTTTAATTTCCAAACCTTTATAAAAACGTGTTTTTGCTTTGTCGTTATGGGTTATTGTGTGTAGATTGATGAGGGGAAAAAAACTATTGTCCATTTTTGAATAAGGCTATAACGTAACAACATTTGGAGAATGTCAAGGGTTCTGAATACTTTCCGATTGCACTGTAGCCAATAGCATGTACAGCCCAAAAACAAACTTTAATTCATGTCGAAGTAGTCCGTTGTGATTGACAGGTTGGCACAGTGCACTAAATCAATAAATTTATTTTTGTCTGCACAGATTCATCTCTTGACCTTCCAATGCCATCTGTTTTTATTTTTCGATGTTGGCCGTGATTTTTTTTTCTTGATGTTTTACCGCTGACAACTGTTTTTAGGGGTACAATATAAATGGCTGCAACGGAAAATAAGTCTAATCTTATTCCAAGTGGAGGACTCGTCTCCTTCAGAGACTGTAACAAATCTCTTAAATTCCCCCTTTTGGTAAACACATTTGGGACGACCCATGAAATGTGTCTGTGTGTGCATGTGGGTGCGAAATAAATAGTTGTATCTTGGCACCGGCAATACAGGCCATAAACCTGACTTGAATATCATAGATCTTATTTGGTTTGTCTTAGAAGTTTGGCGGGTGATGTATTATGGCAAGAGACATTTTTGATGTCTCTCTCTAGAGTTCTTAATCTCTTCATTTTGGAAATCTACCACCATAAGCAGAGCCATAAGGGCTATTTGTCTACCCTGACACACGAATTACGTATTGACCTACCCCAGTTAAAGGCCTTTTCCTTTCATTGTAACTCCATTTTAGTACTCATCACACATGGGTTAGGTGTATATATGTATACCACTGACTGCAGTTGCTGACCAAAGTTAACCTACTACTTGCCTACTGGCTAAATCAATCAATGAAAAATGTATCAATCCAAGATCAATGATATAAATAATTATGGGAAAATAAATTATGGGCAGAAAAACTCATCTTTCATTGAATCAGTTGGCTTATTCATCACAAAACCATTTGTTGCAAATTATTTTAATGATTACTTCATTGGTAAAATGGGCAAACCTCGGCAGTATATGCCAACAACGAACAGTGAGCCATCGTATTCATGCATAAAAAAACAAATAATGAAAGAAAAGCATTGTAAGTTAGAATTTTGTAAAGTTTGTTTTGTTTTTGTCCACATGCAGCACATGCAGGACCTTCTGACCTTAAGAGCTCTGTGACCCAGGGAGTGTGCCCCACTCCGGGCTGCAGGGGCATGGGCCACATCAAAGGGGCCAAATACACAGGACACCACAGGTAAGACAACCGTTGATGACAACACTGTCTGACACTATGGCCCGGTCCAGTAACGTGTGTGTGTGTGTGTGTGTGTGTGTGTGTGTGTGTGTGTGTATATATATGTAAAAGTAGTGCACTAGTCCTGTATTAGCAGACCGATATACCCATCTGTAACGCGAGCAAAAAATGATCCCCCCCCCCCCCCCAGCACCCCCACCCCCAAACATCTTCCTGTGGCCTAAGTGTTGAATAAAAAGTGCCCTGTCAACGCTCTCATAAAAACAGCAGCTCTTTGCTGTATTCATTGACAGTCTGTCTCTAGTCATGGTTTTTAAAAGTTTAGAAATCTCACTGTATCAACTTTGCTGTAGCTTTTATTTACACCAGCTACGTTACTGCAGACAAATCTGAGCATTCCGATTGGCTAGCGGTAGCCCTATATTGCACTTGATTTGCTCTCTGGGTCCGCCAGGAAGGCGGGTTTGTACCTTCAGACCAATTAAATGGTTCAGAATGGGAACAATTCACATACGTGGCGTGCAGGGCAGCTGATTCGGGTGCACCTACCGCCAACAGTACGAGATGAATAAAATAAAAATGGGAACGTTGTTGTTTTTTTCAGAAATGTGCGATCAACCGGTTGGTTGGTGACCACTGGCCTAGATTAAAAATAGCATTATTACAATCTTTTTTTCACTGGCCCAAGCTGCCCACTGACTGGGATGATTGACTGGCCCGGAGGGTTTCCAAAACCTCTCCTGTATGTTGAGCCCTGACACACTCAGACAGGGGCATTCCCATGCCTTTGTTGCCTCTTCGGAAAGTCGGTTTATTTTGGTTAATTGCACATTACTCTTTTAAATAAATCATGACGATAAAAAAAAAAAAGTAATTGTGAACCAATAACTAACGTGACCAGATAAAACATATTTTCATTGGCACCCTTGCGACCAATTAAAAAATGTGTTGCTCTGCCAAGTCAAACGGTCGCAAATGTGACCATTCTGGTCGCAGTATCGAACTCCGGATAGGCTTGGAAGGACGTTCAGCATATTGCTTTATACTTATCAAATCCATTCTGGTAGTAGCTAAGGATGGTTTGTGCCAGACCTATGCCCAGCTTGGCTTTTCTGATAGAATGTCACCATTGTTTAGGGGCGTCATTATTTTTGCTCAATTTGCTGTTTGTTCCATTGAGATCCAGATTAGAAAGGGCTAATACCTCCATGTGAAGGTATTATCCACCAGCAGCTGGCGTTGGCAAGGTGGGATGTGGACGACCATTGTCATTGGGTAATAGATAAGCTGATGTAAATGCAGCGTTGCATGGCCGAACGGTAGCGCTAGGCTAGCTGACTTGGACTGCTCTATGGGAGGGAGTGAGGGCTGCAGCCAGCTGGGCCCTAAGCATTTAATCCAGGGGAGCCAGAGGTTGGAGGAGTGCCTCCACAAAGGGGAGGATGGAGGAGAAGCACTCCTGGCCAGAGTTCACTCACAGAGCTCACACACCAGCGAGTGAGCAGCCTGGAAAAAAGCCAACCCTGTAGCCTTCTCTCTCTCTCTCTCTCTGTCTCTCTCTGAGCATCTGTCTGTCTGAGCATCTGTCTGAGGATTCAACTCTCCACTTCTCTGTCTCTGTCTCTCCCTCCCCCTGAGCATCTGCCTGAGGATTCAACTCTCCACCTCTCTCCCTCTCCCTCCCCCTGAGGATTCAACTCACCCTCTGCTATTTTTGCTATCTCTGCTACCCTCTGCTATCTTTCAAGGATGTAATCAACGCTGAATGTAATGAGAGTAGACCGTGCATATTTTTCTCTCCCGCCCATCTCCTCTAGCCACAGTGGGATCCTCCTGAAAGACCAATGTTCTCTCCCGCCCATCTCCTCTAGCCACAGTGGGATCCTCCTGAAAGACCAATGATTACAATGGCTCCTGACCAACTCCTCATCTGCAGTACCATTCTACGTATAAAACCCTGCTGCTGCAGAAAAAAAGAAATCCACCACGTTGTAGAAACCCAACCTCCTTAGCAACTCATTTGAATCCCATATGCATGAATTAACATGAACTCAGAACTTCAGCTTTATGAGTAGCATTTGTGGCTAGAAATGTCATCACTTCTTTTGTTATGACAGACTTAAATATGTCTCTCTCTGAAAGGTGTCCTTTAAGATCTTTGTGTAGTTTTCTCCCTATTGACTTTGTTAAAAAGGTAAACACGACACTCACTAACTCACTCACACACACACACAACTGTATTCAGTCATTTCTGTAGTACATATAAAAAAAACGGAAAGCTACTGTATTTAATACCCCAGCACGGCATTATGCTCCAGCAGCCTCAATATATTATTTTTAATTCCAGAGCCGTTATTGGTGACGAGGTAATGTTATCCTGGTGTGAAGTTTGGTATTAGCTTGGAGATTTCGTGATGAGATAGCCGGAGTTCATCTACTGCTCGAGCGAGCATTATGCAATCTCATTACCCCACGTGAATATTTATAAAACTGTGCATTTACTTGGAAGAAAAAAAAAAGAAAAGAAAACGTGTATGCCTTTTAGCATTTTTATACATTATATTGGTTCTTTAACATTTTGACCTTAAAGTGTCAGCTCATGAGGTCGCACAAAGACTAGTCATGTTGAATTCCATTGAGATCACATTGAGATAACATGTGAATGGAAAGGGCCCACTTCGGCTCTTTCCTGAACTTCAGAACAATCCAGCACGACCCTTTCCTCAAATTGATCTTATCTCTTATCTGCAGTGGAGGAAAGGACATCGAGTGCGGTGACAGACCCCTCTCTGAACACAGTCATTTTAGCTTCTCAACGCTCACTACTGCTGCTGCACTCTATTTCTGAGCTCCTCCTGCTTCAGTCGCCAGTAGTTCTGCTGTCCCATCATGCATCATTCCATTTTAATGAACACGAGCGTTGTGGATTTCCACAGCGGGCGTCAACATAAATTGTCTCGTCCCGGGCTTAAAGTCTCCAGTCTGCTGAAGGATCAGTTCCAATACCCTTATCAAAAATTTACATAACTATATGTTTCTCCTTGGTCCGCGCTACGGTTTAGTTGGTCCCAAGGCAGTTAGAGGGGGAGAGTGTGTGTGTGTGAAGTCGATTTATGGCATCAGATGCAGGTGTGTGTGAGGGGAACACATTGTGGTAGCAGCTCAGCAGTAAACACATAATAACTTGATTAATTACTGTATCTGTGAGGTACGTAAATAACAAAAACAGATTTGGCCGTTGTGTGTCTTTCTCTGTCCAACACGGCTGGATTTACCTCAGTGTCCTTCCAACAGAGCTCTCTCTCTCTCTCTGTGGCTCTTAAGTCTTCTTATCTACTCCTGTTTCCAGTGGAATTCGTTAAATTCAGGGCCAGACTTAAGATGCGTAGAGGGAGCTGGGCTTATGGACTGTGATGGAGCGTGAAGGCTGTGTGATGGTGTTAGAGGAACCTCTTCTTTGTCTTCTTCCTAGCTGTGTCTACCAGTGTTTCCTCTACCATTTATAGGCGGGTACGCCCCCCCCCCAGTTAGCTCTGTTGGCCCCCAGCTGACAGAGTTTGGCCACTTAGTTGACAGTTCTTGCCTGGATGTTGCTTTGGGGGTGCCCAGCCTTGAAAGTAATCATGGGGGAAACATGTATAACAAACTAGAGTGGTTGGCCCTCAACCCAGTGACTTGCTTCAGTTGCTTGCTGTGACACTTATGGTGACCCCCTCCTCCACTCGTTGCTGTATTTTGTCGGTCATGGTTGGCCAGCTTTGCAGCCAGCAGAATGTGAGAGTTGTCAACTGTATCTGTAAATCTGTACTCTCCCACTGTTAGCCAAGGCCTTAAAGGGATACTTTAGGATTTTGGCAATGAGGCCCCTTATCTACTTCCCTAGAGTCAGATGAACTCGTGGATGCCATTTTTATGTCTCTGCATGCAGTTTGAAGGAGGTTGTTAACTAGCACTAGCGCTATTGCTAGCAGATACCATAGACCAGGGTTCTTCAATTCCGGTCCTGGAGGGCCGAAACACCTCTGTTTTTCATCCTCTCCTTCTAATCAGGGGCTAATTCAGACCTGGGACACCAGGTGAGTGCAATTAACTACCAGGTAGAAATAAAAAACAGAAGTGTTTCGGCCCTCCAGGACCGGAATTGAAGAACCCTGCCATAGACTTTCAGTCATTGTGCTAACGCTAGTTAGCATTGGCTCGCAAAACTACCTCTAACTTCCATCATACTGGACGCAGAGACATAAAAATGGTACCCACGAGTTCATCTGGCTCTGGGGAGTTACAGCCTCAACTTGAAAGAAGTGGAGTCAGCTAATTCTGCAGATGGGGCTGCGGGTCCCCTCAAGCCTGTGTGGAAAGGTAACAGTGTACTACACATCCTTGTATTATTAAGGGCAGTGAATTTGAGGTATTACTAAATCTTTCATCACCAATGTTCTCTTAGTCAGTCACGGGGTGTGTGTGTACCTGTGTGTCTAAGTGCGTACCTGCATTATTTTGTGTTTGTGCGTACTTGTGTGTGAGTGAGTGTTTTACGAGAACAGCGTCCCCTTTCCAGGCAGCCAGCCAGCTGGAGTTCCATCCCCAGATGTGAATAAGTTAAGTCCCAAAAAATAAAGTGACACAGCATCAAGCTAATTAGTCACAGCACCCTCAGGGTGGCCTTTCCAAAAATCCAAAGGCATTAGACAAATGTCAATGGAAAAAAATGGGGTTTCTCTGTCTGTCTCTCTGTCTCTGTCTCTGTCTCTCTCTCTCTGTCTCTCTGTCTCTGTCTCTGTCTCTCTGTCTCTGTCTCTGTCTCTCTCTCTCTGTCTCTGTCTCTCGCTGTCTGTCTGTCTCTGTCTCTCGCTCTGTCTCTCTCTGTCTCTCTGTCTCTCTCTCTGTGTCTCTGTCTCTCGCTCTGTCTCTCTCGCTCTCTGTCTCTCGGTCTCGCTTTCTTTCACTCCATTTCATACTTCATTTGCTGCATTCTCTAATTTCTTCATCCCATTTGTTGGCCTCTTCATTGTGGTTTGTCTTGTTTATGTCGTCTTGTTGTTGCCGTGAGTCACGGTCCAAAGTGGAATTCGTTAAACTGAACCAAAAGATGCATGAGCGGGGGAGGGAAGGAGAGGAGTTGAATCCTCAGACAGACGGAGAGAGCTAGCCTCTGAATTTCTAAAGCAGTGATTTTCTGCAGAAAAGGTGCTCTGGCTCAGCAAAGCCTAGAGATGCATATAATTAAATACTTTGAGCAGCCACACAATAGCAATGTGTCTCTACTCTTTACTGTTTCTGGTTGGCCTGGACCTCAGCACCACACGCTGAGCAGTTTTTACACTGGCTTTCTCCACATGGTCATTTTGAAGGGCTGGTTTGACTAATACGCTGTGACAGGCCAGGCCAAATGAACCCTCACACACAAACATGTCCTGCTGCTGCATCCTGGGCTGGCCGGCTGAGAAGGGCTTTTAAAGTATCGACAGGCTTGAGGCCCTTTCTTTTCTCCCTCTTTATCTTCCTGGCTCAGTCTTTCTGTCTACTTTTCTCTCTCTCACTGTCACTCTCTCTCACTGTCACTCTCTCTCACACTGTCTCTCTCTCTCACTGTCTCTCTCACACTGTCTCTCTCTCTCACACTGTCTCTCTCTCTCTTTCTCACACTGTTTCTCTCTCTCACTCACTCCTCCCTTCTTATTTTTCTCCTCTCCACAGTGCCTTCGGCTGTCCCTACTCTGACATCAACATGAAGAAGGAGGTCGTGCTGCCTGACCGGCTGGGTGGCGAGAAGCAGATCACCTTTGTCCCTGTACACTTTGTCCAGAAGACCAAGAGGCTGTGCACCGCCGACGACCAGGAGCAAGCCACGCCACCTCGGGATGTTCCCATGGAGACCAGGTGAGGGGGTGTGATGTCATTGTGATGATGTGTCAAGATGGCCAGCTGGCCCTGTTTGAAAATGGTTAAAATGCTTCCTTCCATCCTCACTAATCTAGCATGATAGGATAGGTGAAAGCAACAGTTCCACTTCATAGCTTTCACCCATTCAGACATGTCAGATATAAGTGATGACTTCAAGGAGTGGAGGAAGAAAGGATGCATTTTCGAAGTCTTTAAACACTGTGTCAGTGTCGCCACCCAACTGAGATTTCTAATTGAAACTGCCTACAGCCTTGGAAGGAGAGGAGACTTGGCTAAATGTAATCCAATGTTTCATGTTCCACTGAGGGGACCTGATACTGTTCTAAACTAGCAAAATAACAGCTGTCGTGACATTTTTAAGGCTTTATCTAAAAGGCATAACGGAGGACTGCACGCCACTCTCTGCAAATTCCAAGGTTAGAATGTTTCCATCAAGCGATGGAGACGAGGCAGATCACGTTTTGTTGGCTTCTCTGACGTTTAAGAAGTTTAAGGGCGGTGAATTGCATTTTTCCACAGTGTCCACAGCAGATACATAAGCGTTTAGTATCAGAAGCGTTTGGTTAAACGCCGACTCAGCACCGCTGATCAGCTTAGTTTACACGCTGCTCAGAGGGATTTTCTGCAATTGCATTGGGTCTGCTCCATTTATCTAGGCCTGGTCGGGCTGTGGATGGCTAGCCCGCCAGAGTTTACAGTAGGAAACTTGTCAAGTTTAAAGCCGAGCGGGAACGGTTTTAATATAAAACAAACACGATTTATCAACTCCGCTTTTTTAAATTCCCGTCAGAGGCGTCTTTAATGTGTCAGATGTAATGTCAGATTTGAAATTTCACATGTTGGGCTGTTTAGAGAAGCTAATTAAATTGATGCTGTGTTTGTGATATGATTTTGAATGGTGTCAAGTTGTGGTACCTGCCAAAGACTCTCTTTAAGAGTAGACTTGTGGTTACTCATGAGGATGTACTGAAGATGTTACGTTCAAGGTCAGCATTTGCTTTATTGATTCATCAATCATTTACAGTACATGAAAATGTTTCCTTAAAATGTTTTATATTTTGATCTGGTCGTATAGTACAAAAGCAAGACCATTTGAACTCCTGCACGCGTCTCTCAGTATGGACTACGGAGGCATCTACCTGTTGAGGGTGTCTAGCCACTAGTCTTACAGCATCCAAAAACAGTTCTGTGTTATTATTCCACTGTAGTACTGATAAAAACATTTGTTCATGCTATGGCAACACTGTAACGTGTGGTTGTATCCAGTTGAGCCCATATTCGTGTCTTTTAGCAGAGAGTGTCCTCACCTGAACTTCATGCCACCTGTTAAACACACATTTGATCTTTAAATAATTCAAATCAACTATATGTAGACGTCCCACATCTCCTCTAAGGCTATTTCCAGTCCCTGTTGATTTTCTGACCGCCTGCCTGTCTGTGTAGCTGTCTTTCTAATGTTCATCCTCCTGTTCTCTTTTCCGTCTCTGTTCACTGCCCTTTCGCTCTCTCTCCATCTCTCACTATAACCTCTCCCTTTTTTATCCTCTTTATCTCTCCCCCTGCCCACACACCCTCTCTATCTCTCTCTCCCCTCTCTCGCTCTCTCTCTCTCAGGGCAACGCTGTCGGGTTACGAGGGGGCTGCTCGTCTCAGAGGTCGTCCCCCAGCCAACCCCCTAGTGAAGAGAGAGCCCAAGGAGGAACCAGCCACGGCTCAGGGACAGAAACTGCTCTCTCTGGGGAAGAGAGGCCGGCTACCCAGCAGGTACACTATACACTACACCTCAGACCATAAGGCCTTCTTAACCCTGTTACGCTACTGAGACATCTGAGCTGTACTGAGCTGGCCTGATTATGCGTCCATGCTGCAAACGACAACGTGAAAGGAATATAGAAGTCAGCACTGTATGGTTCGGGTCAGCACAATATGCGGAAATGGTATTGCTATATCTCCGTACTGTCAGCAGGTCGAAGACGTGAGGCCGTCCGATCTCCCCACTCACAATTGATACCGTGTCGGGAGAATATGACCTATAATTGTGTGGAGGTAGGGTGGTTATGCAAATCTGTGGCTACCGTTTCACCACTCTGCATCTTCGGATAAGACTGGTTACTCTGGTGAACCATAGTAGTTGTTGACCACGTTGTTAGGATATGTGTGACAAGTGATGGATTTTTGAGTGAGAGGAGGTCATTGCTGAGCGGAATTTCTTGAAATGAAATCAGTATGTTTTTCTTTTTGTTTGAAAACATTCTGCAGGAGTTTAGGAGGTCTGGTCAATTGTACTGTACATCTTCCAAATGGCAGCCATCTTGAATCGTACTTTTGTGCGTCGGTGTCTCCTCCAAGTCCAATTTCCTTCTCTGTCAATATTATATGAAAGCGTTAGCTGTCTCATCTTATAGCACCACTTGCATCTCCTCTCTCTGAGTCTCAGAGTGGGACCTGCTCTGCGTCTCTGTACTCTCTAACAGGGCCTTTTTAGACAGCCGCTTGCTCTGACACCTGGCTTTTAGCGAGGCCCCCTGGGGCTCTTCTCGGTGGGGTTGACAGGGTGTTGATGCAGGGGCACTGATCCAGAACTGGCCCTGGGCTCCACTCAGCTCAGTCTGTCTCTATGGATAGAGTGTGGTCAGATCACTTCGATGCAGTGCAGATCACATTTTACATTTACATTTTAGTCATTTAGCAGACGCTCTTATCCAGAGCGACTTACAGTACATTATTTTTTCATACTGGCCCCCCGTGGGAATCGAACCCACAACCCTGACGTTGCAAGCGCCATGCTCTACCAACTGAGCTACACAAAGACACGAGTAGGGCTGGGGAAGTCAGGGACCTCGCGATACGATATTATCATGATACTTAGGTGCCGATATGACTCTCACGATTCTATATGTATTACGATTCTCACGATTCTATATGTATCCAACATATTGCACACTATATGTCTGCTGCAGAGAGAACATTAGTTTTGGTCAGGGAAATAAAAGTGCTGAAGACATGTTGGCTCACTATTTTAAAAGAAGATGGAGAACAAGATATAGGATGAACAATACCGGCTCAGGGACAGCCGACTATGTCATACTTTTGTTAACAAATCGATAGTTGGAGTCAAAGTATCGTTTTTATAATATCGTCCAAAATAAATTTGCGATATGTAGCTGTATCGATTATTTTTTTCCTCCATCACTAAATGCGAGGCATCAGTTTAAATATGCACACACACACGTGCGCACACACACAAACACTCACACGTAATGCTGGATTGATTAAATTGAACATCCAATCTCCCTACGCCCACAAAACCTATTTAAAATAGAACTGATCCCTGCTGGATCTGCAGCATTGATTCAAGTCAAACCAAATATTGCCACAATACATTTACAGCCTCAGTCTCATTTCTGAATTTGCAATTTATTAAATAGCTACAGACCTGTGTTTTTCCCCTATCCATACCTCGGCCACTATGATTTACCCTCTCCTGTCACCAGACTGATGTGGCGTGGGAGTAAAGCTCATGTAAATGCAAATGCTCTGTCATTACAGAGCCATACTTTGGCAGATGTTACCTGAGGGAGGGATGGAGGGAGGGATGGATGGAGGGAGGGATGGATGGAGGGATGGAGGGAGGGAGGGAGGGAGGGAGGGAGGGCACAGTAATGTCATATAGAGCAAGCAGATTATAGAACCCTGCATCCTGAGTGGCGCAGCGATCTAAGGCACTGCATCAAGTGCTAGAGGCGTCACTACAGACCCTGGTTCGATTCCAGGCTGTATCACAATCCGGCCGTGATTGGGAGTCCCATAGGGCGGCGCATAATTGGCCCAGCGTCGTCCGGGTTTGGCCAGGGTAGGCCGTCATGATTTTCCCTCATACTGCCCGCACTAGCCAGGTTCTCCTGTCGTTAGGGCTAACCAGGTTATCCTGGGGATAGGGTTAGGAGGAGGAACTGATGGTTGAACCCTTTGAAAGATTACTGCATGCCTTGACGATTATGTAAGTTTCCTGTTATATATATATATATATAAAAAATAAATGGAGTGGAGTTTGTTATGTAAGACATCTGTATCAATATTTCCTGAACTGGCATCCCTCCCTCACGATGCAGTAAAAATGAAATCCCAGTATGCCTTTATTCTGTAGTCAAGTGCAGCAAATGCAGCAGAGATATTTTGGCTCATCTCTATCATATTCTGACCATAATCTCCTTGAGAAAGGACGGCAAAGGCATAGAAATTACATCATTTTTTTATGCACAGTCACTTTCTATAGGATTCATGGATTCATGGATTCTATAGGATTCATGGATCGTTCCACGGAATGACTGCCTTTTGCGTCCCTTTTTAATATAGACCTGGAGATTTCAATAAATCACATTTATTTAGCATTTTGACATGTCGCTCTGTGCACCCTCTGTGACTTCTAGGAAGATTTAAACCCACCATCATTGTAAAGCCTTAGTTATTTTGTTGCTTTCACAGTCATTTCTGAAGATTATTATTTATTTCATGTGATGAGTGATTCATTTACGTCTGTCCCTCATTTTAATGTCAAACTTATTACGTGAACTGAACTCTCATTTTAAAGTGGTGAAACAAATATTTTTTTCAAAAGAGACATTGAACATTTTAATAGTCAAACCATAGTGTAAAAGCAGGTGAGCTGGTTCTACTCTTGGCCATTTTCTGGTGTTTTGTGATGCCCATAGATACAGTGAGGGGAAAAAAGTATTTGATCCCCTGCTGATTTTGTATGTTTGCCCACTGACAAAGACATGATCAGTCTATAATGGTAGGTTTATTTGAACAGTGAGAGACAGAATAACAACAAAAAAATCCCGAAAAACTCATGTCAAAAATGTTATAAATTGATTTGCATTTTAATGAGGGAAATAAGTATTTGACCCCTTTGCAAAACATGACTTAGTACTTGGTGGCAAAACCCTTGTTGGCAATCAGAGGTCAGACGTTTCTTGTAGTTGGCCACCAGGTTTGCACACATCTCAGGAGGGATTTTGTTCCACTCCTCTTTGCAGATCTTAAGGTTTCGAGGCTGACGTTTGGTAACTCGAACCTTCAGCTCCCTCCACAGATTTTCTATGGGATTAAGGTCTGGAGACTGGCTAGGCCACTCCAGGACCTTAATGTGCTTCTTCTTGAGCCTTGTGATTTGGGTCATTGTCATGCTGGAATACCCATCCACGACCCATTTTCAATGCCCTGGCTGAGGGAAGGAGGTTCTCACCCAAGATTTGACGGTACATGGCCCTGTCCATCGTCCCTTTGATGCGGTGAAGTTGTCCTGTCCCCTTAGCAGAAAAACACCCCCAAAGCATAATGTTTCCACCTCCATGTTTGACGGTGGGGATGGTGCTCTTGGGGTCATAGGCAGCATTCCTCCTCCTCCAAACACGGCGCGTTGAGTTGATGCCAAAGAGCTCGATTTTGGTCTCATCTGACCACAACACTTTCACCCAGTTCTCCTCTGAATCATTCAGATGTTCATTGGCAAACTTCAGACGGGCCTGTATATGTGCTTTCTTGAGCAGGGGGACCTTGCGGGCGCTGCAGGATTTCATTCCTTCACGGCGTAGTGTGTTACCAATTGTTTTCTTGGTGACTATGGTCCCAGCTGCCTTGAGATCATTGACAAGATCCTCCTGTGTTGTTCTGGGCTGATTCCTCACCGTTCTTATGATCATTGCAACTCCACAAGGTGAGATCTTGCATGGAGCCCTAGGCCGAGGGAGACTGACAGTTATTTTGTGTTCCTTCCATTTGCGAATAATCGCACCAACTGATGTCACCTTCTCACCAAGCTGCTTGGCGATGGTTTTGTAGGTCATTCCAGCCTTGTGTAGGTCTACAATCTTGTCCCTGACATCCTTGGAGAGCTCTTTGGTCTTGGCCATGGTGGAGAGTTTGGAATCTGATTGATTGCTTCTGTGGACAGGTGTCTTTTATACAGGTAACAAACTGAGATTAGGAGCACTCCCTTTAAGAGTGTGCTCCTAATCTCAGCTCATTACCTGTATAAAAGACACCTGGGAGCCAGAAATCTTTCTGATTGAGAGGGGGTCAAATACTTATTTCCCTCATTAAAATGCAAATCAATTTATAACATTTTTGACATGCGTTTTTCTGGATTTTTTTGTTGTTATTCTGTCTCACTGTTCAAATAAACCTACCATTAAAATTATAGACTGATCATTTATTTGTCAGTGGGCAAATGTACAAAATCAGCAGGGGATCAAATACTTTTTTCCCTCACTGTAGGCAGGCAAGAAATGTTTTAACAATTTCAACATTTTTATGAAGCTCACATTCAATTGCCCCTTCCTGTTGCACACAACATGCTTCCATCCCCCTGTCGCAAGGGGATTAATGACTGATTTAAGATGAAATCATCAATCCTGTTAGGGTCAGCGCTGTTTGCACTCATTTGGCACTTAATGGGCACTTACTGTAGTATTTTTTTTAATATTTATTATTATTTTATTTTTTCATATGCTATTTATGACAGAGTGTACAAGTTAGGTGAAATCAAATGTTGTTGTTTTTACTTCTCAAAAGGTACAGAATTGGTTTTCATCCATTTGTTTCCATTTAAAAACCGGATATATAATGAATCCTTGATTAGTTTCCTGGGCCGTCCTACCCCCTCGCCCTCTT